GGTGGAGGGCGGGGGGGTGGGGAGGGGGGCGGGGAGGGTTCTACCATATCTGATCTGTATGGATCATTGATGAAGGTCTGTGCTTTGTACTTATCCCAGTTCAAGGAAATGCCTTATTTGGCAACTTTATTTATATGGAAATATGCTTTTCTCTGTTTAATGTTAAAATATTAAAAGGTAGTTTTAGGTGTAGCAGGACTCATATTGTTTATTCAGCAAATTAAATCAGGCAACTGAAAAGGAAGTGCTTTATTTACTCAATTCCAAGACAAGTTTCCTCCTCTCCCCCCATTCAACATGAGGAAAACAAAGCCTTGTCTTAGAACTGAGTATCAAGTAAAAATACAGTACCTGCTGTTAGAAGAGGCATTATAAATCCAGTCATCACAGACAGTGGGGGAGTGGCATTGAGACACCTAGCAGGTTGACACATGGCAGCAGGGGAGCTAGTGGGGGTGGGGAGAGGGAGGGCCAGGTTCAAGCTACCTGCCCCTGCTCCCACCACCACTTGTCCCCCTGCCACTGCTTTCCCTGCCACAGTGGTGGGGGGGGACGACAAATTTAAGATGACCATCCAATAATTAAATTCTATACCTGGAAAATTTATAACACTTACAATTTCCCATGTACAGAATCTATTTTTGGGTGGGGGTTATTAAATTTGAAGTCACCTTGGATTTGGGTAAATACAGTAATCAAAAAAGGACATGAGCAAAGGAAAACATCAGTATTATCAGGATCAACTGATTAATCCAGTGATTGTTTATCATGCTGCAACCTTTCTGACCTTACCTAAATATTTTTTAGCATATGCTTTAAAAAACCACTGTATATAGTATTAAAAATCTGCTTTTTTGTATTTTTGCAGAAGCCATTAATATATAGCCAATTATATGGTTATACACTTTGTTCCTTATTTAAGGGAGTGCTAAGGCATGACTTATGGATAAATGAACATAGTTGGGCCATTTTGGCTTCTACAGTTAAGAGCTCAAACTATTTAAAAATGAAAATGCATACAAATAGTATCAGAAAAGACCACTTTTAATTGCATAAGAGTATTAAAAACAATGGTGTGTGTAAATTTTAAGAGTTGAACCGTAAGCAATTTTACCTTCCTGTAAATATTAGAATGATGATGGAAGAGGTGGAAATGTCTACAGTTTATGCTTTTCTCATCTGAGAGAGAACAAGATGGTAATTATCTAGAGGTGTGCCAATACATTGGCCCCATGTCAGATTGGTACCAATATAAAGAAAATCAACATTATTGGCAATTGGCTTTTTTGGCTGATGCGGCCTGTAAATGCCCTCGTGCATACGTGCAGCATGCAGGCAGCCAGAAACCCAGCATGGTAGAGAGTAGCAGGGTGTAGTTGATAAATCTGGTGAGGGAAGGGGTGTGATGTGGCGGGGCACAGATTGGGGCCCCAGTGATGAGGGAGGGAGTGGGGCTGGGGCAAGTACTGGCAGGGCGGAGCTGGGCTGGGACAGAGCTACCAGCGGCTCGTCTGGGGTGTGTGCAGGGGGCAGCTCCTGCTGTTGCATGCACCCCAGGAGGGCATGGGGGGCATGTGCCCCTGGATCCGTGTCGGGTAAGGGCAGGCTACCGCTGGGGGTGGCGCTGGGGTCATCTCTGGCTGTGCTTGGGGCATGCAGCCATAGCACTGGGAGGGAGGGTTGGGGGAGGCTATGGAGAATTTTGGGGTGGCTGCAGCCCCCCTCCCAGCACCACCACTACCCGCCCTGAGCACAGCCCTGGCCCAACCCCAATGCCGGGAAGAGCTTGGCGCAGCCCTGGCCCCAGCGCCCAGCAGCAGCTCTCCCTTGCACCGTGCAGATCCGGGGGAACATGCCCTCCAGGGGTGCACACAGCAGCAGGAGCCCTGTGCCCCCCTGGATGAGCCTCTTGCAGCTCCATCTTGTGTCCCGCCCTGGCTGTGCAGTGCCTGCCTCAGCCCCAGCCCCATTCCCTCCCTCATTGCAGGGGCCTCGATGCTACTCCCCCACGCCCCTTCCCCCACAAAAGATTTACCAGCTGGACACTGGTCTCCAAGCTGCCCGGCTGCATATTGGAGTTGAATCAGTATCTGCCGATATGGCTCACTATAAAAAAAAAAAAAAAAAGCCATTGGCATCGGCCCAAAAAATCTCTAGCGGTGCACCCCTATTACTATCATTTCTTGAAGTTTTAGGAAGAGTCTGACGCATCTCATAGAATAATGCTAAAGACCAACAGGATATTTCAGAACGCATATTTGTTCAATTTACCTTTTAATGTATTTCATCTGATCTTTTTACTTCTTTTTAGGAGATCTCTTCTGTCACCTGTGTATGAAGTGCTGTATTTTTTTCTATAATTGGTGCACAATTTGTTGTTAGGTAGCTGGATTCTGTAATAGTTTTTGCAAGCATTAAATCACCATTTTAGATCATATATTTGGGCATGTAGTCTTATAAAATAACAGCCTGCAGTTTTATGCTAGGACTTCTTGTGTTGGAGTAAAGGGAAGGTAAATGAATAAGTTAAAAATAACTACAACATTTTATTTAAAATTTTTGGTTAACATTTGCTCTCTTTCTGGTACTGTACAGTCAGGGTGGCCAGCCTGCAGCACTTGTGCTTCAAGTGGCCTGGGTAGCTTCTGTATGTGGCATGCAGCAGAAAGCAGAGCAGCAGATTGGGTAGGAGAAAGGTATTGGAGTGACACTGGGAGAGGGCACAAGGCTTTATTTGTGGCATACCTGCCAGAAAGTTTCATCCCGCTGCAATAAATATTTAGATTAGAAGTACGTGAACTTGTGCAGCAAAAAAATTAGGATGCATTTTTTCAGGTCCTCAGTTCGTAGAAATTTGTTAAAAGTATCAAAAGGCTTAAATTTTGTTTATTCTAGGTCTTACTTTTTTAAATAACAAATTAGGAGAGGCAAAAATGGAAAAAAAATATCAAAAATAGTACAAGTTTGAGTATCCTAATTTTGAGAAGTCTTGTTAGAAATTTTGATGTATGTCAGCTAGGTATCAATTTCACAGTGGGACCTGAAACTACCAGAAATTACATTTCCTAGTGTGCTGTTTTTGTTTTCTCTGCAGTTTTCCAGCACATTTATTTCAATGATATATTATTAATCCAGTGGTTGTCAAAAAAAGGTCATTGGGGTAGGCAGAATGAATGAGAAAAAATTACTGTTTTACGTAGATGTGCACCGATACATCAGTTCCATATCAGATTGGCACCGATATAAGGAAAATTGACTGTATCAGCAATCAGCCTTTTTTTGGCTGATGTGGCCAATAATGTTGCCGATAAATGCCCTGTGCATGCGTGCAGCTGCAGTGCAGGGCGCAGGCAGCCAGGAGTGCAGCCTGGCAGCATGGAGAGCAGCCAGGTCTGACTGGTTAGTCTATTGTGAGGGAGAGGGCATGGGGGGGACACAGATCGAGGCCCCAGCGGTGAGGGTGGAAGTGGGGCTGGGGCAGGCACTGGCACTGGCACTGCACAGCCAGGGCGGGGAGTGGGACAGAGCCTCACCTTGTCCCGAAGGGTGGGGGGGGATCCCACCACTGCATACACCCCAGGAGGGCATGCGGGGCGTGTGCCCCTGGATCTGCACGTGGGGCAAGGGTGGGCTGGGGCTGGGGTGCCGCCGGGCTCTTCCCAGCAGGGGGTTGGGGGCGGGGCTGTGCTAGGGGTGGGTGGCAGCAGCACTGGGAGGGGGGCTACAGGGGGTCTACAAATTTGGGGGTGGCTGAAGCCCTGCCTCCCCCATAGCCCCTCTTCCAGCACTGTCGCCTGCCCTGAGTGCAGCCTGGCCCAGCCCCATGCTAGGAAGAGCCCAGTGCTGCCTCAGCCCTAGCCAGCAGCGGCAGCCTGCCCTGCCCTGTGCACAGATCTGGGGGCAGATGCCCCCCCATGCCCTCCCGGGGTGCATGCAGCAGCAGGAGCTGCCCCCCTCCCGTGCCCTCCAGATGAGTTTCTTGCAGCTCTGTCCTGTGTCCAACCTCGGCTGTGCAGTGCCTGCCCTGTCCCAGCCCCACTCTCTCCCTCACTGTTGGGGCCTTGATCTGCCCCCCAGTCCCTTTCCTCCCTCCTTTTAATGGTAACATTAAAAATGAGAAAAAAAATATAAAGGGTACATGAGCTGAAACTTTGAGACAGAAGGGGTACACTTGTTAAAAAAAGGTTGAAAAACGCTGTATTAATCAAATTAAATGTCACTGGTAAATTTCTCACAGGAAGGGAGTAAATATATTTGTGTGTAAGTGTTTGTAAGAGTGGGTATGTAATATATGATGATGTAGCCCAGCAGTCAGCAACCTTTTCTGGCTGTAGACTGGAGTGACAGAGCTCAGGTCAGAGAAAGGCATACACTAGGACCTGGGTGCTTCTGCTTCTCCCCATGGCAGCACAAAATATGTGCCTGCCACCAAAACCCCATGTCCTTGAGCTGGCTCAAATCGCTTTGCAGGCCAGATATGACCTGTGGGCTATTGGTTGCTGACCCCTGATTTAATCTGGGTTTTTTGCTGACATTTTCTGCCATAGGAATAAATGTTGTCTTTTAAAAAAGAAATCGTAGTTGTAAATGAAGCTTTGTTATTACTTGATAAAGTTTGAAAGCCTAGAAAATTGTATTCACAAATTTTCTTGTGTGCAAGCTTGTCGTTTTAAATTGATATTGTAATTCTGGATGACTGGTCCAAGAAAACTCACCTTTAATCATTAATTAAAGTAAATCAATTGCTGATCTGTAACAGTTGTCATAGTGAGTAGTATAGATTCACCTACTTAATAGCCCCCGTGTCCTTGTGGAACTCAAAACAGTTATTCTAAGCAGGGGGAATTTATTATTAAAGATGAAAAGCTTCTTCACTGTTAAAGTAGTAAGGAAGTGGAATAGACAGCCTAGAGAATTTATGGAATCTCCATCCAAGAGTTTGGACAACCACTGGTTGGGGATGATCTAGGCGTAGCTATGCCTACATTGTACTCTGGGTGTTTCCCATGCTTATGGGCTATTCTGGTTGCCACATGAGGCTGGGATGGAATTCTGTGCCTCTCCCCCTACTTTCTGTTGCATATATCAGGGTTGTTTTTTTTTAAACTTTCCCCAGAAGCAGCCAAGGCTGGGGATTTCGACTATGGTGTACCAGTGCTCCTGCTACGACTTAAAGCTAGAGGTTTCTGACTAGAGGGCCTTGCCTCTCTGCTCAGGATCAGACTGATCACTATATTTGGGGTCAGGAAGGAATTTTACCCCATGGTTAGATTGGTATGGACTGTAGGGGTTTTTGCCTTCCTATATAGTAGGGCTGAGGCCCTCAGTTTGGGTGTGTATTAACAACCTTTTACACGAGCAGGTTGTTGGCTGCAGTGTTTCCTCTGCTTTACCTTTGGCAGGTTAGGGTGTTAGGTCTTGTGTTGTTCACAGTTGATGGTACTTTCACGAAGAAGTTAGATTGTGGATTTGTATAGGATGGTTTGGATAGGAATGATCCTGCCTCGGGTAGGGTGTCAGACTAGACCTCTCGAGGTTCCTTCCAGCCCTGCTTCTCTATGATTCTGTGATATGAGCCATTTTTTTAACCAAGTATTGTTGCATTTGAAGTTGCCGATTCTTGAAGAACAGCTGTGAGAATACTTGCATTTTCAAATGCTGTCTTTGCCAACCAGTACTTATTTTAAAATATTCTCTAGTCATCTGCAGAATTATTATGCCAAATATTTTGGCTAAATTCAAATATTAGCAATGGGATTTTATTCCTGTTCTTGGTACAATGCTTAATGCAGGTGCTGATGCATCTATAATTAGACTTAATTCATCATGTAACTACATTTCCTGTTGTCTGCACAGCCTGTTAGGTGAAGCCACACTTGTATTCGTTATTTGAAGTAAAGTCTTGTTGAAATACTTCAGTTAAATTTGTATAAGTTAGCTGCTATGCTTTGGTTTTTTCAACATTTTTAAGAGTAATTTGCATTTGTTCTAGAAATAACTTTCAGAGAAACAGCCCTAGCCAGCAGCTTGTTGCAGTCCAGTAGTTTGACTCCACCAGAACATACAGTTCCCCAGAGATGCTTTGAAATACCAGACTCTAGATTTAGAAGTCAGGTATGTATGTTTTGTTAAAAACATATTGCCTTTAAGTTATTGTTCTTTTTCAGAATCTTCTTGTAGTAATTCACAGCAAAGGCTTTCTAATGTAAAATGATTTCTTACAGAAAAGTTAACCTATAAGTGCTTGTAAATTAAGAGGTTACAGTTACAATAGTCAGTTTTTATTTTGAACATTTTTAATAAATTGGATGAAAAGTCAGAATTCTCAACTTTTTGAGAAAAATATCCAAGAGCTAATGGCAAACTCAAAATTTTGGGGACTAGCAGACTGAGCAAAGGACCTAATTTATAGTAACTGACAGCTCTCAGTCACAAAAGCTCTTACTGTCAATCTTCTCTTCTCCCGCATAGCTTTAGAGGGGCTGGTACATCTAATATGTCTGAGAGAGTCAACATATGGCTTTACAGAGAATCAGTATGTCTTGAGCTTTCATTACAGTATTTCAATTAAATGTTTCAGTCTCAGGCTAAACCTTACACTTCAGTCTAAGCCTTACATAAAACTTTACATTTCTTACAGCAAAACCCTCCATCCTCTATTCTTTAACCCTAATAATTCCATCACTGAAGGTTTAACTCAAACATACAGCCCACAGAGCCCTGCCATTTGGCTCCCAATACTGCCCCTTGCATGGGGCCAGTCCATGGGTTGGATCTGGCACATGGATCTCCCCTCCTCCCTCTCCCCAGCTCCTAGCATGCCTGATCTGGTGACTGCTACAGCCAGTCTGAGACCCGTGCTGCATGTGGATATTAAGATTGACCCAATCTTAGTATCCCATCACTGTCTAATGTCAGCCTGGTTGCTAAGGTTGGAGAGTTGGGGTTTCTGTCCCATTTGTCTGGTTGCTTGCAGTGGCAGAGTTGGGTCAAGGTGGTTTTCAGGAAGTTACTTTAGTTCTGTATCTCAGTTAGCTGTGTGCTATCTGCAGAAAAACTTTGCACCATTTAATATTCTTCATCACAAGATCTCAAACTAGTTTTCACACATGTATACATACATAATTATATAGTTGCTGGGGGTGGGGGATGAGGGAAGGATGTCTAGAGGTGCACCAATACATCTCTCTGATATCGGATCAGTACCGGTATAAAGAAAATTGTCTATATCGGATATCAGCCCAATGGGGCACTGAGAAGAGGCTGCAGTCACCCCAAATTTAGGTGCAGCTCTGTTCCCAGCCCCGCATCAGCGCCCATCGCCTGGCGCAGCCCGGCTTTTCCCAGCGCGTGGGTGTAGGTGAGGTGTTCAGCCGTGGCTGCACTAGGCAGTGTTGTAGGGCTAGGAGCAGAGCTGTGGCAAAATTTGGGGTGGCTGCAGCCTTCTCCCAGCGCCACCAGAGCCTGCTCCGAGCCCAGCCCCCGGCAAGAAAAGCCCCATGCAGCTCCAGTTCTGGCTTCACCCCACAGCTGCAACCTGCCCTATGCCACACAGATCCAGGGGCACAGGCCCCTCCGCCCTCGCCCTCTCCGGGTGCAAGCAGAGGTGGAAGCTGCCCCCACCCCATGAACTGCGCCTCCGTCCCACACCCCTGCACCTACCCCCTCCTTCACCGTGGGGGGTGTTGATCTGCCCCCACCCCCAACGCCTCTTCCCTCCCCTCTCTCCTTCCACCACAATGGACTTACCACCTGATTGCAGTTGTATCAGATATTGGATCAGTATTGGCTGACATGTCTCCTTAAATATCGGCTATCTGTATTGACCTTAAAAATCTCTATTGGTGCACCCCTAGTTGTGTCCTTGTCTACTAGATAGGGTGTTTTGGCTGAAGTAATGTTGATAAAAGATTTTAATTTCCTCAGATAAGGTCCTTTAAATGAAAATGAGTAATACCAATCACAACAACCAGACCTTTTGAGGTTCAACCACTTATTTTCATGACCAGACTGTAAACACTTCAAGAATTAAGCACTGATTGAGTCATTTATATTCAGTGAAGTTTAACACCTCTGTCCTTTAAGTATGAGTAATAACATCTCCCTGACATTCTTGTTCCTCTCCCTAGGCACCTACTTCTCTCTTGGACTCATCCAAAGAATATGGAAAAGATCATCACATGTGGTGAGATGTCTAACTTCTAATATAAGTCTGTCTATAATACTTTGCATGTTTTAAATTCTACGTTTAAATTAAAAAGAACATTGCATTTCTTTTTCTCAGACTGAAAATTTCATGATGAATGCTTCCACTCTTGAACTGTAAGATATATTTGTAATTGTAGGAGCAACTAAAAAGCAGAGTGGACAGAGGTATATAGGCTTTTATTTTGCTTTAACACTAATTAAACTAGGGGTGTCAAACTCATCCAGCCTCTTGGGCCAGATGTGATGTGGGGCCAGTCTGCAGGTCAGATCCAGCCAGTGGAACCTCTCCCCTGCCCCTTTCCCTCTCCCAGCATACTTGATCCAGTCCACCTCTCTAGCCAGTCTGAACCAATGCTACATGTGGCACAGATCCTGGTATGGCCAGAAAGGGCACTGTGTGGTGCAGTCCAGCCAGTGTGCATCTGGCACCATCCCAGCAGTTCTGGCCTGTGCCACCATGTGGCACTTGTTCCAGCTAGTCCTGGACTGTGAGTGCTGCATGCAGTGCAGGTCTTGGGACTTGCTGGAGCAGGTGCTGTGGGCAGCCCACCTCTCAGAGCCGGTGCTGTATGCAATGCAGTCAAGCCAGGGTGTCCACCATGTGCAGTATAGCTGTCACTCCGGTCAATCTGCACTGCACACAGTGCCCATTCTGACTGCTCTGGGATCCATGCTGTGTGCAACATGGGTGACATACTGGCTGGAGCAGTCACTGGACCAGGTATACTGGGACCTAGGGAGAGGGAGGAGGGGAGGTCAGTTTACCAGATCTGGCCCCATGCAAGGGCTAGCATTCGGGGGCAAAATAAATTGTATGTTTGGTCCCCCTAAGTTAAACCTTCAGTGATGGAATTATTAGGGTTAAAAAATAGAGAGTGAAGTGTTTTCTGTAAGAAATGTAAAGTTTTGCTGTAAGAACTGATGGCTATGGAGTTCAAAGATGCTGTCTAAACTAGTGGACACTGTAAGCAGACTGCTTTATTTTTTCTTTCTCAAACTGATTTACTAGATTAGATTCTCAGTCTTGATAAAAAAAATAAATTAATTTAAAAAAAAGGGAATGAGTCTTAACATGACTGCTTTCAACCTTATTCTTAATGTAATTTGTTCTGTCTCTGTAGTTTGGACCATTTAGAGGAGGAATGTTATGTGGTGCCTGACCCACATAACACCATCATTCTGCCTTTTACTTGCATGTCCTATACCACCAACAACCAGGATTTTATCCAGCACCTTTCTGTCTTGATAAGACAAGCAATTCAGAAATCACCCCCTTCCTCTACAAAAACAGAAAGCGAAGGGAATCTTGTGAGTAATTTCAGAACAACAGACACTGAAGATGGCTATTTTGAAATGGGACTTCATGGAAGAGACCAAACTTTTGAATTTAGCACTACTTCAGATTCTTCAGCTTTTGATAGCACAGCAGCAGAAAGCACTGATGTAGTAAAAATTCTCTGGAATTTTTGTATTCAGGTTCATAAAGGACTCAGGCAGTTTGCCTCTTGTTTGGTTTTGACTGATAGTGTAATAGCTGTGTTTGAGATTCCTCATCATGGTTTGAAAGGACATTGTCAGCATATCCCTTCTGCCTTGAAGCTAGCACTGTGTTTCCCATATACTGATCTCTCAGAATTTGGCTTTCTCATGCCCGAAATATGTTTAACACTGAAACTGAAAAACAGTGACAACTGCCTGTTTATCATTTCAGACTCCCAAAATCTTCAAGATTTCTATTCCTGCTTACATACATGTTGCTCTCAACACTGCATGTCAATGTTATCAAGTTCCTCACTATATTGTAACAAAACAAGCCTGCAAGAATTTGTCCACCAACTCATGGGGTTTTATCACATTTCATCAGATGACATTGAGATAAAAGGCTGCTTTCCAGCATATCTTGTTTACAGTAATAAAACTGACGTTTTAAAAACCTTGCGTCAACCAGACTTGGTAGGTGATAACAAAGCGTGGTCTAAATATGCTTTGTGTTCTGCATTTTATTCCACGTTGTGTAAAAGTGCTGAACAGAGTCACTATGTGTTCCATCCTTGCTGGATATTTCTAACACCACAGCATTTGCACATAGTAAAGGTTGACTTCCATGGACTTCCTGGTAAATCCATAAACTCTGAAGATGCAAAAAATGTATTCAAACTGAGCAGGATTCCACTAGCTTCAGTTGTGTTGCATCCTACCGGTCATTCCATCCAGCAGAAAGGTTCATTTTCAGATGGACATGTGTTGGAGTTACGTATTGGATACAGATTTGTTACAGCAGTTTTTGTTCTACCTCATGAGAAGTTCCATTTTCTAAGAACCTACAGTCTCTTAAGAACACTTCTGCAGGAAATTAAGACAATAATTATTTTCAAAGCTTCAAACATGTTGGAATCTGTAAGGAATCATCTCTTAGATTCAGACAACTATAGCCAGAGAGCAAGGTAATGACTCGTTTAAAATATAGATGCTACAGTGCTAAATATAATATGGCCTAAATAGCCTAAGGTTTCTGAAAACTTCTGTTTACTTTGAACATGAATTTTGGTGCAATTGAGAATCAGGTCTCTTGTATTTGGGGAGAACAGTATTTTCTTTTATCCTGGATAGTGGTGTGTGACCTGTCATATGGCATTGTACCTGCATTTTTCAGCGTTATGCTTATGGCTTAACAGATGCCCTCAGGCAATACAGCTTGGCATTTTGCCTGCAGCGTAGTATGAGTAACAAATGACAGAAACAGATGTTGGTGAAATTATGTATTTACTTGGATACAAGATGAGTTCCCCACCACCGCCACCACCATGGTGGGGGAAAAGCCACTCATCATATATTCAGATACAAGAAAATGTCATTAAATACATTGTCTGACATGGAAACCAGCTATGAAACTGATTTAAATGCAACCAACACTGATCATGACTATGAAACACATGGCCCATGTGGGGCAAACATGCTGATGGGAACCTTTTTATTCTTACTATCATTTACAGATTTTATTAAAAACACCACATTTAGCACCCTATACTTACAAAGCTTCACGTATTGAGCATCCTTGTTTTACCAAAACTTTGTACTGAAAAAACAACTAACATCCAAAATATACAACTACATATATCAAACCCTTAAACAACATACTTCAGCTTCCCACAAAAACCCCTAGCAGAACTCTTTCTTCATACGGAACCCCATTTAAAAAGTATTAGCTCAATAACCACTTCAAATTCTCTGCCCCTCCCATCAGTCCTCTCTGGTTCAGTGAAACAAGTGTGTTCAGTCCCTCTTCTTCCACTTCTCTGCTGCTTTTTCTCCAGTCTCTTCCTTGTCCTGACAGATGTAGTATTTCAATTTATGCAGCCCCACCTTAAGGCACTCTGTGCTGTATGTTTTACCTTTTCCCTTGGTGTCTATTGGGATCCCTAGCACTCTGATTTCTCTCTCTCATTTGAAGGCTCAGCTTCTCCAAGTCCCTCCAGTTTCCCACTCCCATCATGGTGCTTTTTGATCCATTTAATTTAGCCTCTGTTGCTTCTCTGTACTCTAATGTATGCTGTAGTCCCCCTTCCATTGGAAGTCTCTAAATACTACATTTATATCACCTATGTATAATGCATGTTTTACCTCTCCTCCTCCTGGTAGCTTTACTCTGCTTATGATCTTGTCTTTTCTTATTCTTGGTGCTAACGGTTGCATGCTACACACAAATAGTAGTGGCAATGGGGGGCACCCTTGTCTCACCTCATATGGATTTTAAAAGTCCTTCTGAGATGCCTATTAATTTGAACTTGACTCTCCACTTCTCTATACAATAACCTTATCCAACATATAAATTTATCTGGGAACCCCATTTTTCCTAGCACTTTAAATATGTATTCATGATCTACTCTGTCATATGTCATTTTTCTAAATCTAGGTTTGGGTTTGTTTTCCTCTCTTGGATGTGGGACAGTGTATTTCTGATCACTTTGGAGATCCTTTTACCTGGTAGTGTGCATACTTGGCCTTCATGTATAATCTTCTGGAGGATTTTCCTCATCCTCAAAGCCAGCATCTTGGCCATTATAGTCCATGTTAAGGAGTATATAAGTCTCCAGTTTTTTAGGAGCTCCTTCTCCCCTTTCTTGAAAAGTAAGATCACAAAATTTCTTGTAAAGTTTTTCCCTGCCTTTCTTATTTCTACTATATTCCTTCTTGCCCATGCCCAGAATTTCTTGTAAAATTCCATAGGCAGTCTGCTCCTGGTGATTTCCCTCCCTTAAAGAGTTTTTAAGCACTCCTCCACTTCTTTTAAGCTTATCTTTTCTTCCATTTTCTTTGTTTCCTTCTCCTCTACTTTCTTCTAACTCTCTTCCAGTAAAACCTGCATCTTCTTCCTGTTTGTTTACTTCTTCTGAAATAGCTCTTCAGAAAATCTTGTTGACTCCAACAGCTCCTCCTGCTTTTCTACCCAAGAACCAACCTTCTACCCACACTACTTTTAGCTCTCCTTTCACTATCTTAATTCTAGCCCAAAAATATTGGGACCGCTCTCGTTTTCTCCCACCCAGGGTGCTAATTAGCTCAGTTGTGCTACAAACATTTTCTCTCATCTTTCTTTTAAATCAGCCTTCTATATGTTGCCTTGTTTCTTCTAGTTCTTCATACTGGTCTTCCTTCTGTAGCTTCTTTTAGCAGCTCCTGCATCTTTCTTTGTAGCTCTCTCACCTCTTATATTCTTTTCCCCACAGTTCATCGGCCTTCCTGAAGAATTCTCCCATTTTCTTCAGCATTATCCACCATTCCCTGGTACTCCTAAATATTTCTTCAGCATTCTCCACCCCTCATCTTGAAGCTGTCACACGTTTAACTTCCATGCTCCCCTTCTCCTTATATGGCTCTTGCCAAAAGTCAGTTCCACTTTCAGAATCTATGGTATGCATATTGATACAAACACAAAATCAGTTCTTGATTGTTTCTTTCCACTAGGGTCATTTCTAGTGAAAACCTTCTCCCCTGCCCACACATCTCTTTGTGACTCTGTATTTGTTAATCTGGGTGAACTGTCTAAAATTCCTTCTCCTTCCCTTGTTCTCCCAACCATTTCCATTATGCAATTGAAGTCACTTGCTATTATCCATGGTCTCTCTCTGACCACCTAAACTGCTGCCTTTCTAAGCAGAGCCTCCCACCTCCCAGCTGGTAGTGCAAATATATTAAAAACTTTAAATTTTACTCCCCTGACTGATATTATCATTTGCTGCAGTGTGCTACAGATGTCTTCCACCCACTGTGCTGTCACCTCTGGATTCTTGAATAACACTGCCATTCCAGCTGCTTTGTTCCCATGGGTCCTGTGATGCACGAGGATGGTCCCCATCTCCACCTCTTCTCAAGGCATTTATAAATCCTCTCCCCTGATATCCAACATTCTTGTTAGGCAGATTGTTTCCCTTTATTTGGTTTTAACATTGGTTTGATCTGTTTCCATCTTTTCCTTGTTAGTATGCTCCTGACATTAATTAGGGTTACTGTGCATCTGGGTTTTCCAAGACATGTCCTCTTTTTGTATCCTTTGATCTCTGTCCGGGGAATTTTTAAAAATCTGAACAAATGTCCAGGATTCTGCTCTGCTCTGTTCTGCTGACGGGAGCTGGGGGAGAGTGATTGGAGGCAGGGACACTAGGTGTGAGTGCACATGCAAATGCACATGGCCGGCAGGCACGCAGGCAGGGTGGTGGGAGCAGCTTTGGCAGCTGGATGCAGGTAAGTATATGAGGGGACAGAATTAGAGGGCCAGGGCTTGGGGACTGTCCAGGGATTGTGTGTGGAAGGGTTGGGTGGGGGTTGGCAGTGCCTGGTGACGGGGAAGTTGTCTGGACACCAGGGCTGTGGCAGGGCAGGAGAGCTGGGGGCAGTTGCCTGCCCATCCAATATGGGAAGGGGGTAGGGATGCCCTTCAGGAGCAATGGGGAGCTCTGTGTCCAGGCTGGCACCCATGCTTGGAGGGGCAGAGCATCCAGGAGATGCTGCCCAAGAGAGAGGGACAGGCATGACCAGGCCACCTGGCGCAGCATGGGAACCCCAGCCCAGGGCAGCAGGTGCCACAGGCCTCCCCTCTTTCCCCCTCCACCCGGGCTGGGGCCAGACTCACTCTGCGACCACCTGAACAAATCAAAGTATCTGCACTATGGCCCGGTTGGGATAGGGACAGCTGGAGGCTCCCTCCAGTGGGGCTGTGGGGAGCCAGGGGCCTGCAGGTCAGGAGTGAGGCGCACTGGCAGGGCCAGGGGTTTGCGGGTTGAGAATGAGGGTCAGCATCAGGGATGGGGTGGTGTGGTTTGGGAGTGAGGGGCAGCAGCATAACCCATGGGGACGAGGCACTGTGGGTCTGGAGTGAGGGGCACTGGCAGGGCCAGGGGGCTGTGGG